AAATATATTTCAATGAATAGTTAAAAAAAATGACATCTATTTTTCATTAGGTAACTTATTTATTTTAAAACCTTAAATTTCTAGAAATGAAGGAACATGCTTTTACTTGAAAAGTTTATCAGGATATTCCATTAATGTTTTATTTGCTATTGTTATGGGAACTGAACTTTCCAAGGGAAAAAAGCCACACATATGTTAAACATCTACAACGCTAATTGACTAACATCTTGGCTGTGGAGAGTTGAAATGTTGCAAATCCAAAGCCAACTTGTCTTGAGCTATCTTTAACCCACATAATAACCATTCACTGCCCATCTATCTATGTGTGACCTAACATCCTGATGGCTCTCAAGTGACATCTAGGATATATTAATTTAGCAACTCAAAACATAAGAATGTCATAGGAGAGCACCTGAAACCTCTTTTTTAAAAGGTATTTTATTTTTTAATGTTTTAACTCAGAATATTTTTAATAATGGATATAAAAAAGTATTCATCTTACAAATTGTTCTGAAATCCAAATATACAACAGCTTGGAAAACAATATTTAGAAAACAAAAGCCAATGTAAAAAGACAGATTAAAACAACTAGAACAGTACAAGTTTGAGATGGCTCAGATTTTAGTTTTCTTACTGCATCATCAATGTCAGAAATCTGTTCCTTCAGCTGGCTCCACTGCTCCATATTTAAAGAAATACCTTTTCTTCCTGGCTTCATTTCACCTTCTGAGTCCATCCAATATTCTCTAATATCAATTAGAATTTTCCCTTTAAAGTCCTGAACACTAACGTACCTCATTTTCCCAATCTGAAACATGTCATCTCTGCGGCTGCTACTCTGCTTGGAAGAGGCCAAAGCTCTCGAAGTTTCACCAGGCTTTTGTTTCTTTACAGGTTTTTCTGGAGCAACTTGCTTTTTCCTCTTTAACATTTTTTTTCAATTTCACTGTCAGAATCGCTGTCTGAAGAGCTCGAAGAAACAAGTTCCTTTAATTTAGGCATTGCTCCACTACTGCCATCCAACAGCCTCCTGCTCGCTCACTCCGAACTCTTATTTATTAATTTTATTTCTATGTGTATGTGTATTGCCTGTGTGCAGGTAAGTGCACCCGTGTCATGCAATGTCCGTGGAGATCAGTAGAGGGAGTCAGATCCCATAGAACTGGAGTTACAGATGGTTTTTAGCCACCATGTCAGTGCTGGGAGTTGAACCTGGGTCCTCTGCAAGAACAGCCAGTGCTCTCAACTGCTGAGGCATCTCTGTAGCCCCCTGAAACCTCTTTTGCTATAACCTGCCTACCTGATATTTCCACTGATATGTTTGAAAAGTATCTGATTTATTATTTTGTTTGATGTTGTAGCTATAAAAACCTCATGAAACTGTTAGTTTGTGAGAATATGGTATTTGGGGCAACCTGAATCTGTGTTCCAGGGCTGTAGTCATTTATAGTTGTTTCCAGAAGAAACTATCTCTTTTTTCCTTTGAGGTAAGAGCTGTTTTTTTCCTTGGTAGCTGTGACAACAAAGAAAACATGTCAACATGCCTCAGTAGAAAGAAAGACACAGGAAATGGTCATGCCAGTAATTCCAGCATTTGGGAGGCAGAGGCAGGAAGATCCCAAAGTCAAGACCAGCCTGGATTAAAGTGAGATGCTATTACAAACTACCTCACCTCCACTTCCCCAAAACACAGAAAGGAAAAGAAACAAATCATTGATCTGGAGATGTAGCTCAGTTGGCAGAGTGCTTCCCTAACATGCACAAAGCTCTGAGTTTGATCTCCAGCACTTAATAAATTGGGCATGGTGGCACATACCTGTAATACCAGCATTCCTAAGGTGGAGACAGGAGGATCAGAAGTTCAAGCTCATACTTAGCTATATAGTGAGTTTAAGCCTGCACGATATGAGACCCTATCTTAAAACAACCAAATAGCTGGGCATGGTGGTGCATGCCTTTCATCCTAGCACTCAGGAAGCAGAGGCAAGCAGAGCTCTGTGAGTTCAAGGCCAGCCTGGTCTACATAGTGAGTTCCAGGTGGGGCTACAGGGAGACCCTCTCTCAAAAAGACCCCAAAAAAGACAAAACCAAACAAACAAGAACAACAACCAAATAAAAATGAAAACCTATTATAGAGAGGTAGACAGTAACAACATAGGAGTGAAGATTCCTGGCTAAGTCAACAGGGTGGTATAGGTCTAAATTCAAAGAATGCCACTTGCTGTTACCAGTTGTGCATGTTGAGGGGAGTTCCTTATTTTTTCTAAGTCTCTACTTCTGTACAGAGTTCCAGAGTGAAGCAGTGTCAGCAAAGGATGTGAAGGAAGGACCATTTGGTCGACACCTGACTGTAGCTGGGCCTCAAACATAGGCTGCTGTTCACAATCTATTTTGGATAGAATTGCCAAGAGAATGAGAATCACAAAAGTTGATTCTAACTGAACTCCATCAACTCTGGTACTACATAAAGGAAGAGGTTAGGAAGTTGATGAGTGTCATAAGAGTGAAAGCTTCCCAGGCTCTGAGGGCTTTTAAGAGTCAAGAGCTAATAGTGATTATGAAGGATCAGAACAGCACCTGATTGCATTACTTTTCTGTTGCTGTGTTAAAACACCATGACCGAGGCAACTTACAGAAGGGAGTTTATTGGAGTTACGGTTCCAGAGGATTAAGAGACCATCATAAGCCAGGGAGACATGGCAGGAGGCAGCCAGAGCAGAAAACTAAGCCCTCAGATCTTCAAGCATGCACAGGAAGCAGAGAGGGGACAAGCAGGAAGTGGGCAAAGCTGTGAATTCTCAAAGCCTGCCCACAGTGATGTGCTTCCTCTACCGAAAACTTCCCAAAACACTTCCACCAACTGAGGATAGAGTATTCAAACACTTGGAGCCTATGGGCAACATTCTCATTCAAACCATCACACACAAAACATCATAAACAACACAATGTAATCAGGGGTACTTTTTTTTTTTATTATTGTTCGTGGTGGAACCAGCTATATCACAGTGTCCTAGTGAGAAGAGCATGAAGGAAATGAAGCAACTAAAGTTCCTAGCAGAGAGTCTGAAACACAAGGCTAAGCTGCTGTTAGTTAGCATCCCTTTTCCCCTCCCTTACTTCCAAGTGTTCAGCCCAAACCCAGCTCACTCCCTGAAGCCCTCTTTAATTTATATCCTCCAACTCAACAAATGCAGCCTTTTCTGTGGCTGTGGGACCTCTACCAAGTGTAGGCTGGTGTGGGAGACCTGGCTTCCTGGCACTGAGTTATAAGGAAGCATGCAAGCTTGCCCAGATGTAACATCTTGGACTTGATATACATAAGCTGTAGTTCCTAAAAGGGCAGGAAGTGGCTTGTCACAAGTTGGGTTTTGCAAAAGCAGATGCTAAGGTGGAATTTGAGGTATGAGATGTGTGTTTAGAGATTAATATCTATGAAAAGAAGGGGTGCAAAGCCAGATGAGGCAAAAGGAAAAGGCTGAATGTCAATGCAAACTCAAAAGACCCTGGTCAAATCCACAAGACAGTGTGGCATGAGTATTGCCATCTGAATGTCTCACAATGGGCTGAGAAAGCCAGATCTTCACGCACTGTCTCCCTCTATCCCTGGATAGTGCTTGTTTACAAATGCTAGTTAAGCCTCCCCTCCCTGTGTACTCAGCAAAATCTGTGTGGTTAGGGCATGTTTACGAAGCATCCCCAATGCTTCTTCTGCAAGGTCTATTTGAGAACCCAGTAGAGGATGGAGCATCAAAAAGCATTCCACAAATCTAGATGGAACACCCTCACTGTTGCAAACTCTGGAGGAAGAAATGATCCGGTCAGCAACCTCAATGGTGGAACGCAGATGGCAGAGATAGACAGCAATCTCAGCAGGAAAGGAACCAAAGACACACACCATCAAGACATACGTAAGATTCTGTTCTTGAACACACCAATCAATCACCATCACATACAGCGAATCATCCATTAAGTGCTGAGGAAATGTAGTACAGAAAGGGCGATCTGAATGGGACCCTGAGTAACAGAAATAATGTGGCCTTTCTGTGTCCATAGAGTTCAGAGAATGTAGAAAGTGTGATAGGAAAAATAGAGCATGTTCATTTAAACTAATCTCTAACCAAAATTTAGGATTTTCTTAAATCATGAATACAGACACAAACTGCAACAGAATTAGTGAACACCTGTGACTTAGTCACCAATAGAAACCATAGCTATGTTTTGTGTTTCATATCACATTGCTATTATCATGGGTCTCCTGAAATATGTTTTTTGTTGATCAATACTTCAGGCCTGTTACTTTTTTGTGTTTTTATTTTTTAATTAGCATATAATGTCTTATCATTATGACATTTTCAAGCAAAGTATATTTCTGTGCTTCTCCCTCACATCTCCCCCACCCCTTGCTAGCTACATTCCTCCCTGGTTACCCCACACACTCTATTCCTCTTTCATGTCCCATGAGTCATTTTGTCCATCCTCCATCCTTCCTCATCAGCTAGTATTACCTTCTCTTGGTCTCTTTTCTAATTTTTTTTTACTTTACCTACACTTACACGTGTTTACAAATATGTGTGTGTGTGTATGTGTGTGTGTGTGTGTGTGTGTGTGTGTGTGCGTGTGTGGTGCTGGGAAGTGAACCTAGGGCCTCAAGCATTCAAGTCAAGCCCTCTACCATCAAGCTACATTGTCAGCCCTAGGACTGACTATTGCTTTCTAAATCTTTCTTTATATCTTGGTATTTAATGTGTTAATAGGGAAACACTGCATTATTATATCACACTTTTAAATTTATTGTTTCTATTTTATGTGTGTAAGTGTTTTTGCACTACAGGTGCATGCAGTGCCCACAGAGAAGAGTAAGTCAGATCCCATGGAATTGAAGTTATAGATGGTTCTTACCCACCATGTGGGTGCTGGGAACTGAATCCAGGTCTTCTGCAAGAGCATCCAGTGCTCTTAACCACTGAGCTATCTCTCCAGCCCCTATATCACAATTTTTTAATGGGAGAGAGAAAACTCAGCCCCCGACTACCATAAATTATGCAGTGGAGTTTCCCACATTTGGGGAAATTGCAGGAGTCAGCACTTCCGGAATGCAATGGATAAGACTCATCTTGGGGAAGCCATCTTTGTGATCACATATCTACCCTGCCAGGTATCTATGACATGTCTTTTGAAATAGTCTATGTATCCCCAGCTGACCTAGAACTTGATATGTAGACCAAGATGATCTTGAATTTGTGGTAATCTTCTGCCCCTGCCTTCTAAGTGTGGGCATTACATACATGAGCCATCATACTTGGCCCTTATATCACACATTTCTTAACAAATATTTAGATAATCGTATACTTATATAATTGGTTTCATTTGTAATCTAATGCATTTTATCTTGTGTATTAAAAATATTATTCTGGGCCAGGCGTGGTGGCACACGCCTTTAATCCCAGCACTTGGGAGGCAGAGGCAAGCGGATCTTTGTGAGTTCAAGGCCAGCCTGGTCTACATAGTGAGTTCCAGGACAGCTGGGGCTACAACGAGACCCTGTCTCAAAAAAAGATTTAAAAAAAATTATATATATAATTCTATGTAAGGGTTCATAGACTTCATCAAACCCCCAAACAAGCAAAGGGACATCACACAGAAGAGAGAAGCTATTGTGGTACAATACTGTATGCAGTTAGTGGTCACCTACGTTAGGTCATTTATACTCCATCTAACCTCCCACAGAGCACAACTACTCTCTACATTTCTCTCAGGAACTTCCTGTGTAAAGCACAGTTGGAAAGAGAAACAGAAAATTTTGTTTCAAGGCCTCTGAATAAGATCATGTGTTCATTCATTCATTCATTTATGCTTACATTCATTGGTTCAACTCAACAAATGTTTATAGAGCACCTATTATGGGCCAGCCACAATGTGATGAAGGAGATAGATATTGCTCTGTCCTCAGGGAGTTTCTATTCTAGTTCAGACTGGAGAGGACTAACCAGACAAAATAATAGGGCCTGGAGAGATGACTCAGCAGTTAGGAGTGCTTCCTATTTTTCCAGAGGACCCGAGTCCAGTTCTCAGTACCCACATGAGACAGTTTACAGCCATCTATAAATCCAGCTCCACAGTATCCAACACTCTTTTCTGGCATCTGAGGAAACCTGCACTCATGTGTACATACTGCCCACATTAATAAAAATAAATCCATGAGGTCAGGGATTAAAGGAGTTGAAGTCGGGGCGCCTGGGGCTCCAGCCTACAGGCCAGAAGGGGAGGAGGAGCAGCTGCCTGGGGTCCCTCAACTCAGATGATGGACTTGGAGCTGCTGATCTCCAGTCACAATGATCGAGGTGGTTTGTAACGACCATCTGGGGAAGAAAGTGCGCATCAAGTGCAACACCGATGACACCATCTGGGACTTGAAGAAACTGATCGCAGCCCAGACTGGCATTTGTTGGAATAAGATAGTGCTAAAGAAGTGGTACACAACTTTTAAGGACCACGTATCTCTGGAAGACTATGCAATCCATGATATGATGAACCTGGAGCTTTATTACCAGTAAAGCTCATTCCCCCCAACCCATCCTTCTCCCTCAGTCCTGCCCAACTCTCCCACCATGATCTGACACACTGTATGGATGGTTTTTATTAACAAGTCATGTGAATAAAAAACCTTGTGTGGAAAAAACATGTCTAAAAAATGGGACAGACATAACAATAGTTACATGGAATATGTAATATGTGTCAAATATCATTTTGAGGTTTACATGGATTAACAAAACTTCATAAGGTTCATGTAAACTTAGCATATCTTAAGAGATAAGGAAAGTTAAAAGAGGTGACCCATGTTACACCCAAGATTCAAAAAGGTCACACCCAGGATTCAAACCCAAGCAATAGTTCTTTATAGCCATGTTAAGTCTGAACTGTCTATGAAATATCCAAGTGGATATATGAAATATTCCATGAAGCTGGGACACAAAGGAGAAGCTCAAGCTACGCATGGAGATTTAGAACTGACTAGTATAGAATTTGATTTTTAATTTATTTTATTAATTCTTTGAGAATTTCATACGTGCATAAATGTATTTTGATCACATTCACCCCCACTCTTTTCCTTAATTCACAACGGATCCACCCCTACCCCTCCTAACTTTGCGTTGTCATTTAAAAAAATAATCTATTGAGTTGAATCTGTGCTGCCCATACACTCCTGGCTATGGGATCATCCACTGGACTATGGTCAACCCACAAGGGGCCACACCCTTCAAGAAAACAGACTCTCCCTCCCCCAGAAGCCATCAACTGACTTCTGCTAAGATAGAGGCCTGGGGAGCTCCTCCCCACTCCATGCTGGAAAGTTGACTGGCTTGATCTTATTGCAGGCAACCACAGTTGCTGTGAATTCATGAGTGCTGCAGTACTGTAAAGTGAAGAAAACACTGTTCTGCCCTGATCATCCCAAATCTCTTGGTTTTGCAGTTTTTCCAACCTTTCTTCTATGATGGCCCCGGAGCCTTGGGGGTTGGAAGTGTGATGTAAATTTACCATTTTGGCTGAGCACTCCACGGACACTTATTTTCTGCATTTTGACCATGTCTGAGTTTCTACATTAATAAAAATAAAGTTTAAAACCAAGGAACTAAATGCAATCTCATAGGAAAAGAATGAAGATTGAGATTAGAAGTTGGTCCAGGGTGGAGCTCTGAAGTGTACTAACATTTAGACTTGGGGCAAGAGGAGGAACACTAGGGTTAAGGGAAAAACTCCCAGAAGCCAGAAGAAAGAACATTTTAAGGAAGACAGTGTAATTAACTGGATCAGTAGCTAATCATTATCATCATATGTTACTCTAGGAAATCGGTCAAGACTATGTGGAATTATTGAAGGGAACCAAGGTTCTTTTCGCTTTTGATGGTGATTAACACAGAAACCCACAACTGGTCAATGTACAGAGTATTAGAGACTTCGGAGTGCTCAGCCCTAAATAGAACACGTATTTCACATCCTCTCCTCCCAAGGCTCGGGGATCATTTCAAAAGAGGGGGTTGAAAGGTAAGAGTAACAGGTGGTGAATGAATACAAGGAAACCATATTGTCCAGACACAAGAGGGAAGTTGCATACATGAACTCACAGAGCTTGTGACAGCATGCACACATCCTGCTCAAGCTGAAGTCAGATAAAATTCCAGCACGGATGGAGGAAGTGGGCAAAAAGCTTCAGCCCTGGCTGAGGAACTATTGGCAATTGATAGCTGCTGGAGAGAGAGACTCAGTTTTCTTTAAGGGTGTGATGCCATGTAGGTTGATCAGACTCTGAGGTGGACCCACACCCAGGAGAATTTGGGGAACAAATTAGACTCAATAGGCCTTAAAAATAATAATAGAGGGCATGAAGTCAGAGGGGTAGTAAAGTGGGGACAGAGATGAAGTGGGTCTGAATAAGATCAAAATACATTGTATGAAGGGACTGGAGAGCTGGTTCAGTGGTTAAGAGCACTGGCTGCTCTTGCAGAAGACCTGGGTTTGGTTCTCAGTACCTACATGGTGGCTCACTGTCCAAAACTTCAGTTCCAGGGGATCATGTGCCCTCTTCTGGCATCCACAGGCATTGCACATACATGGTGCACTTACATACATGCAGGCAGAACACTCATACACATAAAATTAAAATTAATGAATTAATCAATTAATTAAAAATATATTGTGTAAAATTCTCAAAGAATCAATAAAAAATATTTTTAAATGACAATCCAGAGAGAAGTATAACCAGAATGACTGTACCTCACAGCTCTGCCTCTGACATTCATTGCCCCACACCTCATCCAATTTAGTGTTTGTCCCATTTTTTGATCTTCAGACTAAATAGTACTATTAATAGTTGCATTAGGGATGGGGATATCACTCGATGATAAAGCAATTACCTCATATGTACAACCCTTGATTCCATCCTATTCTTCCACATACACAAAAAAGTTGCCTTAAAAAATTTTTGGTTTGCTGGGCATGATGGCACATGCTTGTAATCACAGCTTCTTAGGAGGCTGAAGGAGAAGCATCACAAATTCAAGGCTGGTCTGGGTAACTTAATGGGGCCTTGCCTCAAAGTCTAAATTTTTTGAAGTTTGGGAATATAGTTAGTGTTAAAGCATTTGCTTAGCATGTATGAAGACTTGAGTGCAATTAATGATACATAGTACTATATAATCAATACTGCAATAATAACAGTAATAATGATATTGTGGTGTAGGTTTAGTAGAGCTAGAGTTGAGTTTCCAGTTTTCACAAACTTCTTCCACAATGAAATCTGAACGATAACCACTGATAATCCATTTCTTTTCCTAACTTTTGTGGATTAAACATAACTGACCTCCTCATCAGAGAAAGCATGCAAGGCACTGACAAAAGGACATGTGTTCAAATATCAGCTGCTAGGAACACCTAACCACCCCAATGCCAGGCAGCAGTGGAGGAAGTATTCGGCATTGTCCAGGTACCTGCTATGTGGTATACTGGTTGGTGGTTCCTTGGCGTAGGAGTTCCAGCAGCTGTCAGATCACCAATTAGCAAGATTAATGGACGATATGGAAATATTTACAGGTCAGCTGTACCACAGAGTTTATTAGGAATGTTCTGAACATTCTTGCAACAGTGGTTGTGTAATTTATACATGAAGCAAATGCACACCAGTCTATTTTACTGATTGATAATTGTCCTATATGCTTCTCTCTTGCTGTGACACCATGACCAAAGCAACTTGTAGAGGAAAGGGTTTATTTCACCCTTACAGCTTACAGTTCATCATGGAGGGGAGCCAGGGCAGGAACTTAAGGCAGGAACCTGGAGGCAGGAGCTGAAGCACAGAGCATGGAGTATCGCTGCTTACTGGCTTGTTCCCCTGGCCTGTGCACAACCTGTTTTCTTATACAACCCAGGACCACCTGCCCACGGGAGTGGGTGGCACCACCCACAGTGAGCTAGGCCCTCCCACATCACTCAACAATCAAGAAAATGCCTCACAGACATGTCCACAGCCCAATCCATAGAGGAAATTTCCCAACTAAGGTTCCCTCTCCCCAGGTTGTCAAGTTGACTACTAAAGCTATCCAACACAATAATGCTTTTTTTTTGAGACAGTGCCTCCCTGTAGCCCCTGGAATTTGCTACATAGACCAAGTTAGCCTCTGTCTCTCAGAGATCTGCCTGTCTCTACCTCCTAAGTGCTGGGATTAAACGTGTGCACCACAATGCCCGGTTTGCTCGTTTCTTTTTAAGCAGGGATTCACTATGTAGCCCAGGTTGACCTTGGCCTCCTGTTTTGGAATTTCAGGCATGTGCCATACTCAGACATTTTGTTCAAATTTTATTCTAGATTTCTATATGCACATATGAAAAGCAAAGCTTTAGTTGTCAACGTATTGGCTTCAAAACTGTGTAATGACACTCTGATACCAGTGTCCTCAAAACTGTGTAATGACACTCTGATATCAGTGTCCTCAAAACTGTTTAATGACACTCTGATATCAGTGTCCTCAAAACTGTGTAATGACACTCTGATATCAGTGTCCTCAGGTGCATCACAACTTAAACTAATAACAGCCGGATCACTTTATCTACTTAATGCCAATTTCAGTTTTTTAAAGATTTAGTTTTAATCATATGTATGTGTGTGTCTTTGTGTGGATATGTGTATGTGAGTGCAGGTGCCCTGCCCGAGGAGGCCAAAGAGGTATTGGATCCCCATGGAGCTCTAGAGTCAGTGGTGGTTGTGAGCCACCTGATGTGGGTGCTGTGAATCAAACTTGGGTCCTATGGAAGAGAAGTGTGAGCTATTAACTGCTGAACCATCTCTCCAACCCTGGTTTGTTAGTAAATTTTTTATTCATGACCACATGGATAAAACAGGAGATCATTATGTTAAGTGAACTAAGACACGCACAGGAAGACAAATATCTCATGATGTCCCTCATGTGAAGAATATAAAAACGCTGACCTTGTGGAAGTTGAGTGCAAAATAGTGGTTGCTAAAGGCTGGGGAGAACAGGGTGTGCCTCTTGGAATGAGAAATGTTGATCAACGGGGTACTAAGTAACAGAAAGGAACAAGAAATTCTGGTGTGTTATTGCATAACATGGAGATTACATTTGACAATAATATACTGTACATTTCAAAAAGCTACATGAAAACATTTTGTAAATATTCATAATGAAATGAGAAATGTTTAAGGAGACAGATATGCTTAACCTGGTTTAAATTTAAATGTTACGTATACATGTACCAAAATATGACAGGATGATCCATAAATATATATATATATATTTAATTTGCATATTTTTATATGTCACACGTATTAAAAATAAATTTAAAGAAAACTCTAGAGTTGCACTATAAAATAATAATTTTGGAAGTTAATTAGTTAATTCTGATGAAGGTGAAATACAGCATTATGAATACTATTAGAATTTAAGTAAACCAGGCGTGGTGTGGTTTAATCCGAGCACTCAGGAGGCAGAGGCAGGTGGATCTCTGTTCAAAGCCAACCTGGTCTACATAGTGAGTTCCA